GGTCTCTGATATTCTACGCTATATTCTAAGCAATAATTCTTATTGTTTAAATTTCTGTATCACTTTTATTATCTGTATTTTAGCAAAAAATTTTAACATTGCATTCATCTTAAAACAGTATCATTATGGGATTTAGTTTAAATTGTATTTTATAGTTTTTGTAAAACGCCATTGAATACATGTTTAATTGTAAATAGTAGGCGTTCAACCAAACAAACCAGTTTCATTATTATTATTATTATTTATTAGCTATATCTTTATTTTCTTTGAACTTTCTTTTCATGACACAATAATTTATATACTGTTTCGATTGCAGACGAAGTTTTGTTGTTTATTGTGCTGTTCTATATACAACAAATACATTGCATGCCTGGGACTTTTCCTGATGAACCTTTCAACTGTAACAGATATATGGATTATGCTTTACGCGACTGGTCGTGTAGACCTGCCGACTTGTTTGATATGCTGGATGACGATATACTAAAAGACGATGTTGTCACTGGAGACGAATTTCTCCGTGAAGCAGGGGCACGTTGCAGGTAGTATCAATAAACAAAATGATTACCTAAGAACAATAACGGAGTCTTGTTTTACAATTATATTTAACGCTCATTAATTATAGTAAATATAAATCTTCCAAAAGTGCGTGTTATTGTTCTACCGTCGATAATTATCTTGTTGTGCGCAGTAACCATTTTTCAAGCGTGATGTATCCTATTCGTAACGGTATTATGTCTATTTGTATACGCTTGTTTTACAAAAAAATCTCACACCATTTAGAAAGAATACAACACTACAAGTATATGTGTATAACTTTATCAGAATTTAGATGTTATATTACAAACTGAACAGCTTTGGAATATCTTCAAACGTAGTTTTATTAATGTTATATTGTTGTTTATCAAGTACTCAAAACTATTAGACACGTAGTTTCAAAAATCTAGCAAAGAATAATCATAATAATTTACAAGTTACACACTTACAGTAACGAGACACTGCTAGCTTCCTACATCAACTGTATGGGGACATTATCTGCGGAATGTCCCGAACAGTTTGCTGATGTGGCTGACTCGTTAAGAAACAAGATAAGCATGTTTTGTGACGGCAATGACGTCTCTGAAGGGCTCCAGTCAGGTTTGTAATAACTGACCACTTTGTAGACTATAACTTACATTTTACAATTTCTCGTTATAGCGTCTCCTAATATAGCACTCTATAGAACAGTTAAATGGTTCTGTTATACTAAAATATCTGCAATGTTACCCAGGCTCTAATTGGAGAAATCTTGTCATATACATTTACATACATAAGAAAATATACTGCGAATTGATAAAATTGTGTAGGAAACGGTTTATTATAACTCTGTTATACCTTCAACATGACTTTTATGCAAGTGATTTTTAAAAATATGTATAATCACATATAATCTATATTCCTTATTTAGCGATGAACAGCGGGTTTTCATTTAACCTGAATTGCTCTGCCGCTATGGATGCGGCATTAATGGAATGTGCGAAAGAACTGGACATTTATAAGAACATCCCTGGGCCCAATATAACCTTCGCAGTGGCAGCGGAAATTCTTCCACCGTGCGTACATTTATGTTATAAACATTAAATATTTAAACTATGTCAAATTAAAGATGATCAATATGCAGCCTGACTACCTTAAAATATAGTTGTTTTAAATTAATCAACAATAAAAAACGTAGAAATAGCATCATAGTTCTTTGTCTTCCCCAGACGATTACATACAGTTAGACTATAAAACTTTTAGTACGAATTGCACATAAATCGTTTACTCCCTGTGCCCTGTCCCACTCATTGTTCAGTGCCCTGCTGGGTGCATTGCTGATGGTGATCATGTGGTGCTGAGATACAACGGAGGCTGTGTTCTGTAAATGTCTAATTACTTTGTTGATCTATGTTCTCTTTTTTTAAAATGCATATGACAATAACATTATTGTGTGAATAAGTTCAATTAAAGATTGAATGATTTGACACAAACTACCTCATGATGAAAGATGCAAAATCTTTGTATTTGTTTAATAAATATGCGTTATCTTAACATGTTTCATCACAGTTTTCTTAATATTGTAAGTTAAAGTTTTAAGTTTGTCTTGAAGTACACTATTCATATATTATAAATGTATATCATTGAAGGGTTATTAGCGAGTTATTTCACTGTTCAAAGAGGCAACTGGAACTTACACCAACTCAGAGTAACGGATGTGACAGCTCTTGGCGAAATATTCTGCTAAACCTTTGGTTAAGAATGCAGTTCATGGGGAGCATTTTTGTCAATTTGTCTCAGGAAGATGCGCAAGAACTTCTGGTAAATTTAACCTAAATGAACATTTAACGCCATATAGATAGAAAAGAGTCCGGTCATAATTCTCATAACAAAATAATGTTTGAAATAGTAATGAAAAATCCTCGTATATTTTGCTTTGCCGGTGATATGAATAGTAAACATTAATTTATAATTCATTTACGCAATAAACCTCAGATCTTATTATGATAATCTAATCTAATAAATGGTGATTGCATTAAGGTTATATATTTGAGTATTAATAGTACATATTATTTATAATTTACTAACGCAAGGAACCTTGGATTATATAGAATAAATTTAATGGTGTCTGCATTAAAGTTATATCTTTGAGTATTCATATTTTTAAAGTTAAATGATAATAGTATCTAGAATGTTAAAAAGAAGAGTCCAAAAACAGTATCATTTATAAAGATTTTTACTGCACCGCTATCTTAATTAGTTCATTTACAATGCCTTGGCCAGTTAATGAGCAAATAATGTATACATAATTTACAATTTATGGCATTCATTTATTACTATTAGTGTTATATTTTTCAGGCTCTAGTTAGTGAGTATGGAGGAACAGAAATCCTGATTTAGTAATTCACACACAGAGCTTTTTTAAAGATTGGTGACACACTTTTAAGACAGATCAAGAATTGTCACCACTATTTTGCTTTATTCAGAACAAATATGACTTTATACAAAAGTCACGGTACAATAAATAATTTGTTCTTTTTTTCTTTCAAAATATACAGTAGTAAAACTAGTGTGATGAAATGTGGTATTGATTTGAAATGGAATTCGACCTTGAATACGATTTTCAGGAAAAGGAAATACAGAACATACTACGAAACTAATCGTTCTCATGATACCCCCGGGAAATGAATTGCCCAGATAGTTATTATGACATTATGCATCGTAGGATACCCACGGCCGAACCAGAACAGTTATGTTACATGTTAATCAGCCGTGGGTATCCGACGATAGACATTATAATGATGTATGTTGGATTTCCTTTCAAATGTTTCTATTTCTTAAAGCTACATTAAATAAATTTCATAAAAACATAAATGGCGACATTTCATTAATAAATTGGGTTTCATATCGACTCCAGATTTTATTTTGGTGTCAAGACAACCAAAATAAGTTTTATAAGCATAAAAAATTGGCAACCTCATTGTGGTGAAATCGGAAGTACAATAATAATTATTTCTGTTTGCATGAGAAACTCCGCCCTCGGTTCATCCGTACATCAATATTATATCAACAAACATGACTATGTGCAGCAGTTCTAATCTAACGGTATATTTCCGCATTGTAACGGATGTTTTCATACAAATTTAATCCTTTTTATGAGATGATTACTTTTTTTCTGAACCACAGGCCTAGTGCACCGTGAAGCTAAAACGGTTAAAGTGTGTTTGCACAAGATAATCTCATATTTACTGTGTTCCGGTTGGCAGCTATAACACTGTGACGTAGCGCATACACGAGCTGATTATAGTCTTCATTTGCATGTTAAAATTCGTATACGAACTTTAGTGTTACCGTGGGGTTTTCCGTTTAAAATCCTAATTTATGAACAATATTTGATGAGATTTACAACATAACTGTTAAAAAGGTTTATGAAACTGTATAATGCTTGTTTTTTAGGCCGACGGCAAAATATTTTTACATATTTATTTAATGTAACTTGAAAAAAACTGTTGATTTTTTTTATATTTTACAAAGAAATATAAATCATTATCAACAAATTTGTAAACCAAACGATTTAAGAAAAAACAGATATGACTGTCATGTTGTATTTTAATAAATCGTATCTCCCAAATTGTTTGTTTCATTTTACGCCTTTTCCCAACAGTATTTCAGTCATATAGGCGGGTAGTTTCCTAACCATCGTTCCTGGAGAGTTTCACCAGTATTAGACTACATAATAACGTATCACTGCTGGTATATTCATATCAACAAGTGAATCAATAGACCTGCATCGCACAGAAATTGCTGGAAAAAAATATGCCAGGAAATATTTAAACAATATATTTTATTAAAATATACATATATTCTTTTCTTTGTGAACATACAATAATAAAATGAACTAAACATATAACATCATTAAAGTACAAGAAATACAAAAACATGGTCACAAAAAGTTTTTTTTGCGCGCACAAACACAGGTACATACACGCACGCACATATTTCAATCAATAAATACCCGTTCAATACTAACAACTGTACATATTTTGAATATAACGCGCACACATACAGTACACATACATTTCAATATATTTTATTTGATTTCAAAGCATGTCACATCAGCCACAATATAACAAGTTAATTTGACAATTGTAAAAAGAGTGACAGAAATAATAATAAGTAAAAAAAACTTTAAAACAATAACCAACTTTATTCTAAAAATCAAAATATCAGATATACAAAAATTACAAAATAATAACAATACCTGGAAATTAGATAATAAAGAGCAGTCTGAAAGTTGTTAAAGGTTTTTTGTTTGATATAATTAATAAATGTCTAATTTGTTATATATCCTTAAAAAGTATGGAAATAATTATAGTGTTATATACCCGCAAATGGTTGATAAGAACTGAATAAATTTTTCACAAAGTATAATAATATTTCTGGTGAAATTCACTGAAATAAGTTTAATCTCACAATGATCTGTCGAAAATACTTTCACATAAGATTTTACCTAAAAGATCTAAAGATAGTCAGTCGTTAAAGAAATGCTTTTATATTTTTACATGAAAAGAAGTTTTCAAGAACTTTCTTACTGTACATGATTTTAAATATAAATTAAACACAGAACTTCATACCATGTTTCACAGTTAAGTATTTTAAAACATACAAGTAAATATATAAATACTAGATAATTTCTAAATTAGCATAAAAACAGATAAAATCTTCAACAGTTCAACTGTGTGTCCCAAAATTTATTGAAATGTGATTCAACAAAAAATATATAAAACAAGAGCTGTCGGTAGGACAGCAACGCTCGACTATTCTTAGTGCTTGATAGTAAAAACAATGCTTGATACAGATACCTCCTCCTGTTTACAGGTTGGGGTAATGATGATGAACAAGTGTGCAAAGTTTCAAAGCCATATGTCAATGGACTTTGAAAATATTTGAACTATTACAAAAACTTTAACGTAAATTCTAAGTCGAAAAAGGGGCATAATTCTGTCAAAATGCTTGATACAGTTACCTCCTCCTGTTTACAGGTTGGGGTAATGATGGTGAACAAGTGTGCAAAGTTTCAAAGCCATATGTCAATGGACTTTGAAAATATTTGAACTATTACAAAAACTTTAACGTAAATTCTAAGTCGAAAAAGGGGCATAATTCTTTCAAAATGCTTGATAGAGTTACCTCCTCCTGTCTATAGGTTGGGGTAATGATGGTGAACAAGTGTGCAAAGTTTCAAAGCCATATGACAATGGACTTTGAAAATATTAAAACTATTACAAAAACTTTAACATAAGTGGTTACGCCGACGCAGACGCCGACGCTGACACTGACGCCGACGCCGACGCTCGGGTGACTACAATAGCTCTACTTATTCTTATCGAATAGTCGAGCTAAAAATGGAACAATTACAACAATTTTTTACAAAATTCAATAAAAATATTGAGCATACAAACTCATCTTTGTTTGTAAGATACAGGAAACAAATGTAATCTTTCTTTTGGTCTAATTTTATTTCCCTTGGAAAATTCTCTACACTGACCAACAACTGACCCTGCAGAAAGAGTAATGACATGATGCAATATGGTGTCTGTAGTATGTTTACCATACTACTAGCTATTCTGACTGGAATTATCCGTTAGTCGTTGACCAGCTACACTTGTAGTTAGATCGCTTGATCATATAAATCTTTTACTAGTATTGTAAGTAAACTGTATATATGTAAATCGAACTTTGTTATTATATTTGACATTATTATATAGATACAATGACACAACATAGTGTCAGAATTTTTGTGGATTAAATAACTATCACTAAACAATGTGTATTAAAAGTGTATAATTAATAAACATGGACATGTCTGGAATAACATAGCCTAGAATGGATAGTTTAAATCTGCCTGAAGCATGAAACATGTTGAATTGATTTTCAACGGGCCATTAAAAGGAAAAGAAAGAGAAAAAATTGCGTATATCCTAATATGGGTAGACGAAAAAGGAAGAGACATCCAACAAGCATGGAACTTATCTGCAGACGATAAAAAGAAAGTAAGCATCCATTACGGAAAATTCAAAGAACATGTACAGCCTACACTAAATCCTGTATTTGCCAGGTACCGATTCAAAAATGAAACTCAAGGATCGGACTCAATCGATAAATTCGTCAAACGTCTAAGACTCCGTGTCAACGATTGCAGATACAACGACAAAGAATATGTATTAATTCGTGACCGCATCGTTTTTGGCACAAATAATTCACGAATTCATGAGAAATTAATAAATGAGGCATTAAAAAAGCCGTTCAAATTGCTCAGAATTTAAATACTGTCAGCAGTGAATGAGCATCACAATCTCACACAGGTAATGTAGACGCAATACGGAGAAGACGCCAAGAACCGCATACACAACAACGGAGAGAGAACATATATCTATACATATGAAGCAATGTGGAAATTGTGGACAGAGACATGATTTAAGAGACAGCACTGTTTGTCTCCCATTTGGAAAAATTTGCTTAAAGTGCAAAAAAATCTAATTATGTCAAGAAAATGTGTCACGCAAAAGAAGAGTGCACTCATGGCATTGAACAAAGTTATGTTCATGATTTAAGTGCTGTAGGACCAAGTAATAATCATTTTGAGGAGTGAACGCAGTACCTTATTGTTACGGTAAGCGCTTCATTTTCACCACACAAATCACCAGACCGTGTTTTTGTTTCCCTCCAAATTGGCCCAGAAAAACAGCGCTTAACCTTCACGATCTTGCACCAAATTTATGATTAGCTAAGACTGAATTACGCTCTTGAGCCCTCGGACAGTAAACGTACTTCATATTCAGGGGATCTCATTAAAGTTCATGGAAAGGTCACGTTGCAGTGTACCTACAGAGATTCCAATATCAATACAACTTTCTATGTAGAAGAAAATCCCGCCCCATCTCTTATAGGTGTAAAGTAAGTCTCGACCTAGGATTATTAAACCTCACATACTCAGCAGATAAATCGCCCAGTACACAATCTTGAGCTGACCAAACAGTCATTTGTAACTATGGGATTTATTCAAATGTATTGGTAAGCTTCCTGTTAAATATAAAAATATAAGTTACATTTAAAAGAATTTGCGGTACCTACAGTTACCCTCCCCCCCCCACAAAGTACCAGAGGCACTGCAAAACAGGCTTAAGCAAGATTTTTCACGTATGGAAAGTGATAAAATAATCGTCAAAGTAACAGAAACCACAGACTGGGTAAATTCTATCGTGGTTGTTGAAAAACCGAAAACTGGCATATTAAGAATATGTATAGACCTGGAAGTGTTAAATGACGCAATCTGTAGGCCCCACTATCCCATGCCTACACTCGAAGTTGTGACAGCTCATCTCACAGGTGCGTCACACTTCGGTATCCTTGACATCACTCAGGTGTAATGGAGTGTAGAATTAGAGAAAGAATCGTCAATGTTTACAACTTTCTCGGCGCCATTTGGCAAATATCGGTATTTAAGGCTCCCATTTGCCACATTTTTCATCTGGTGATATTTTTCAACAAGATGTATGAAAGATTTCAAGGTCTGCCAGGTGTTCACGCTATTGTTGACGACATACCTATTTGTGGTCATTAATTTTCTGTAGCAAAACTAGGTCAAATGGTCGAATAGAAGAGAAAAACTTGGTTTACACTAAAAGTCACATTTTTTTCTGGAGCTTTATGAAACATTGGTCAGAATATTTGCCGATCACAACTGGACTAATGTGAAAGTGAGCTGTCTGCAGCCCAAAACTAGTTAATTTGGTTAAATCATTGAAAAAGTGTGTTAACATTCTAAAGGTGATATTTTCTTCCTAATTTTTATAAAGCTTTGTCAGAATGTTAACCTCTGTCAAATCTAGGCTGAGAATGAAAGTGGGT